GTTCCTAGTTGTCTAGGAACCCCGCCGTTAGGCGGGAATAAAACAGTAAGTGTTCTATCTTATAGCGTTGTACGGCTTAGAGGCTAATAATATTAATCTTAGCTCTAGAGTTGTAAAGAGCTTAGAGAGGCACCGCAGTGCCGTTAGGGAGTTGTACCTCTACATCTACGGCGATGCAAAGCTGCCTCCTGTTAGAGTTCTTCCCTAGTAGCAATTAGGAGAGATTTGCAACTAGGGGTTAGCTTTTCCTAAGTCTTAGGATTTATTAGATCTGCCTTAGTTGTCTTAGTTGCGCTGTTTCTAATAAGGTTAAGGTTGCTTACTGTCTTAACAGTCCTCTTGCTTATTAGTGTTGCGTCTACTATTGTAACTACTATTACGGCAACGATCTCTATACCCTTAGTTAGAGGAATATTAGGGGGTAAATAGACGGTTACCCTTTAGCCTACTGTTAGAGCAGCCTAGGGAGGTTCAGCCTAGCTGTGTAGAAGGCTTACGATCTTGCCTCTTACTACCTTAGTTAGTTTAGGCATTTAGACGCTTACCTTAACGTCCGCTAAAGCTATTAGAGCTACCCTAGGATAGCGACAGGGCGATTACAGTACAATTAGCCGTCTCTGCGTTGCGCAGTGCTCGCTCGAAGTCTATCTAGGTGTAAATAGTCTCAAACCCGCCGTGCCGCTGCATTTTACGCCTTATAATGTCTAGGATCTTAGCTTAGACAAAGGCGATCTTAGCTTTATTATTATCCTTATTATCTAGTGTTTTAAAGAAGCTGCGTAGGAGCAAAGACTCTCTCTTGCTAAGCTGTAGTAAGAAAGTGTTTACTAAATTAGTGTCCTTCTAGACAAAGTTAAAGAACTTAGTATAGTTATTATACTTTGTAAAGAGGGGATCTTAAACGAGGTTGCGCTCCTCGTTCTTGACCTAATCCTATCCCTTTAGTAGTCTGTCCCTAAACCGTTGCATAAGGAGTTCTCAGTGCACTAAATAGGAGATAGTACCTAGGGCCTAAAGGGTCCTAGTATAGCTGTCCTCGTAAACGGTAGCTATCTTAAAGACGCCCTTAACGTCTCTAATCTATTAGTCTACCTGCTAAGGGGTAGCTAACTTACTAGTGTCCCCTAGTTTAGGCTAAGGAGTAGCCGCATTTAGGGCCCTTAGCAGTTTAGATGCGTTATCTGTAGTGCTACTAGGTTTGCCCGTTGTCTCTCTAACGACTGCCTAAGCCGTAAGGAGGAGGTTATTAGTAGCTACTCTTTCGCGGAGTCTTACTAGGCGCTCTTTAGGTTCGCCTCTGTCTTTAGCTTCCTAAAGGGCGTTTGTTACTTAGGCTACCTAATCTTAGGTGCTAGCGGCTAGTGTCTAGGCATGCGACAGCCCATAGGTAGAGCTATAGGTTGCGCTGTTGTTGTTATTGCCTATCCTATTATAGGAAGGTATAGTAGTACTAGACGCTGCAGCATTATCGTAGTGCATATGCGCAGTACAAAGCTCTATTACTAACTAGGTGCGGTAGAGGGATAGATCCCCTACCGCTAATCGATGCGATCTAATAGGTAAGGTGCTGCGCGCCTTCCCGTAGTTAAGTAAGGGGTTGCGCAAGGGCTGCCCTTCTTCGCTCCGAGGGGTCCCTAGAGGGTTTTCGGGGTCGGAGGCTTCCCCCTTAGAGGAGTCCTCGCTATTATCGCGACAGCCCTTAGGCTCGTTGCGGTAAACACCCTTAGGTGTCTCACGCTAGAGGAGTTCATCCTCTTACGTGGTGGTTTCGCGTTAAGCCTGTTGCTCAGTCGCAGATTAATTAGCAACGCTGCGGTCCTAGTCTAGGGAGGTGTCGGTTGCCCAACAGGCAGCTTACTTACCTCGTGTATTGCGTAAAGAGCTTATCTTTTCGCGGCTTTAATAGGAACACTTATAGCGAAGTGTTTAAAATAGAGTAAAAAGGATATCTTAACGACTGTCCGTCCGACAAGGAGTAAGAAGGATTCGAATTGTGAGGAGTAGTTGGGCAGGCACTAAGATATCAGTATAGGCTTGTATTGAGACGAATCCTTAAGGAGCTATCAAGCCTCTCAGAGGGATGATATATACCTACGTCACGTGATTGTGGCTAGTGTGAGCCGACGGTGCCCCGAAGGGTTCCCGGTAGCTCACTAGTCTGTGGCTGGAATCCTGTGGTGATGGAACATCGTGACACTTAGCCTTCGTATTCTGTACTAGGCGGAACCAGCCTTGTATAACCTCAGGATCCTCGCAGAGGGCTCTACTATAGTCGTACTTTCGATTAAACTTAACTTTAAGCTTAGGGCGACGCTTTACAAAGTTTGCAGCCTACCTCTTGCCAACTAGCTTCTAATTACAGATCTTAAGCAAAGAATTAGCTATCTCTTCAACGTCAGCAAGCCTAGGCGGATATCCTTGCTCTATTAGCTTAAGAACATGCCTAACAATCGCTACCTCTTTAGATCCTCGAAGAGCTATTAATTTAGGCTCACAATCGCGTCGATAGGGCGTTCCAGCGAGTCGTCTTCGTAGTGTGCTTTTAGAGACGTTGTAGGTAGCTGCAGCGCGTCGCGGCTTAAATGTCGCGTCTTGTTGGATAGCCTGTAAGGCAAGCTGTATATTTCTTTCGTTTAAGGTCTTTTTAACATTGTTGCGTTGAGACATTACAGGTAGGCTTCAAGTTTGGTTGGGTCTTGGCAAAAAGGTTCCACTCGCTTGAAGGTTCCACTCGCTTGAAGGTTCCACTCGCTTGTGACCTACGTTAGCTATATAAGATCGCTCTAGATCGCATACTAAACATGATTAAGAGCATTAATCTTTAATTAATTACGACTCTAAAACAGCTTTAATTAAGTTAATCTTAATCGCGACCTTATAAAACTTCAATCAAGCTCAATCGGCTGCCTTAGATTGATTGACTTGATTGATGGCATGTCTGCTTCTGCTATGCCTTCGGCCCAGCCGGTGCTTACAGCTTGTGGCTGCTTAATACTTGGTGATGACAAAGGTCTGTAGATCCTAAGAAGGGCGAAAAGGGCTAGTACTGGCTATTCCCGAGTACATGAGCCTCTTCCGCTCGAAATGAAAGGGGATCCGCAGTTCTAGGGGAGTTTGGCCAGGTTGTTCAGGTTCTTAGCTTAATCAGCGTCCAAGAGTATGCACTAAAGTGAGTACTGCAGAGTACTGCGTTTAGTGTACAAAGGATCGAATGTGTTGAACGTTTCGTTACCGAGATACGGGCTCTAAAGCGTATAAAGCACCGCTGCGGAGTAGAGTAAGATTTGTCGGGAACTACACCGACACGAAGTACATAGGTCTGATGATGTCGCCCGTTGCTGACATAGACCTGTCTACCTAGTAGAGCAAAGTTTGTTCTAGTCATACATCTCCTGCCAGCGTCAGCATCTAGGTCGAACTAGAGACTGTAGATCTTGTAGCGACACACCTGCACCAGTAACCACAGTTGTTTCATCAAGACGACGCCTACCCCTACGCTCCTACACAGACCAGACCCCTCTATTCAGTAGAGATACCTCTTTGCTGAAAGTTCGTTAGCTGTGCCTTTCAATCCGAGCATCCGTAGGTGCGACCAAGCGAGCAGAATGGTGTTTCTCAAAACCTTGAGTCTAGTTCTTGCCAGGCGGCTTTGGCGGGCGATCGGTCTAGGGTCGCTGGCAGGTGACGCAGAAAGCTAGGAAACGTATGTACTTAATGCGCACAGGCTGTCCGAGATCAGACAACTATGAGAGAAATAGACGAGAGCGTCCTCCTCGTACGGAGTAAGGTACTGTTAGCGTTCGGCCTTTTCTTCGATCGAGCGACGGGTTGCGCTAGCACACGGCTGGCCTTGTTCATCGCGGCGGACTTGTTAGCAATAGGAAAGGAAAGACGAGGAACGTCTGCGCAAACTCCAAACGGGGAACAGATCACCCTGCGCACAACGGCTCTGCATAAGCGCGGTCATAAATGCTTCTAGAAAGCCAGCAGCATGCGCTACGCCTATTTTGAGTGGCATACAGGACTTGCACAGCGCAGTATTCTTTACAATACAATACATTAGGCAATAAGGGCGCTGATGCTCCGCCACTGGGTGCCAAGTTTCACTACCGTCTCTGTGCGCGTAACGAGCCAGTTCGCGTTACGAGCTACCCCAACGATAAGTTGACGATAGCAAAATAAAGCTGTAGAGCCACAGCAAATCGTGATAATATTGCGATAACTTCGTGTTGCACTAATTACATGCTTGCGAACAATTCGTACTATTCATATTTAACCTCCCGTCCTATGTGACGAGAAACCCAGTGTGCAGCGAACGACCAATAAGAGCGCGAGGATAGCAAACATTCCAGCACCACTTCATCCTCAAAGCAAGCACAAGAAAACAGGTTTGTCTTTCAATTTAGCAATACGCTCATCATACTATTTGCATCAGTGCAGCGCTGGTAAAAGCTCAAGATCTGAACAGTTTCTCGTCACACTGGGTTTCTCGTAACGTAGGGCGGGACTTTAGCTGGTAATCTGCTGTTGCGGCCGCGCTTAGTGATTTGGGGTGGGGGAATCGCAGCTGGAGGTTCAGCGTCAACACCACTGCGTGCAGCTACAACACAACGACAGTTTGTTAGATCTTTTGCAGCACTGTGTGTAGCTTTTCGCTTGGGTCCTTTAGGTGTATTGTGATATTTTTGTGCGGTTGCAGCAGCGCGTTGCAGCTTTTTAAGCGCCCAGCAAACTGGCTCGTTTCGCGCACGGGCACGGTATTCCAAGGCCCGAGGGAACGCCTAATCAGCACTAACACTCTTTCTTGAAGTTCGCAGACTTGCGAATATCGCTACTATAACATTACGACCATGCCAGTCACAAGAAGACATGCATGTGGGAGGTATGATAGTTGCTGGACGTGCAAACTGCGCCGCAAGAAATGCGATAAGATACAACCAACATGCGGAGACTGCGATAGCCTAGAGATTACCTGCGTCTACGGACCGAAGCCCCACTGGATGGAAACTGACGGGCAACAACGACGGAAAGCCGCCTTGCTCAAGGAAGAAGTCAAACGCAAAGCAGCAATGAGGAGGGAGAAGTTCAACAAGTCCACGAGCCGAGTTGCGCAGGAAGACACTATGCATCAGTTCAACATCATTCCCGATATTGTGGTATCGAAGGATACATTGTCCATCGACCTCGTGGGTTCTGTCGTACCAAACAATCAGTCATCGGCCTCAACAAGCATTTCGGCATCTCCCACTGTCCCCGCGCCATTTCCTTTTTCCCTGCTACCTAACGCTCTACAACACTATCACTACTCGCAAACCGTAGGGCCATCCTCACCCATCGAAGCAGACTTCATCAACAAATACATCAGCTTTGCGTTCCCAGCACTATTCCCCTTCTACCGACCTTCCCTCTTCCACACAGGCCGGAGCTGGCTCCTACAATTACTTGGGAAGAGCCACATCGCACACCATGCCGCGCTCAGCATATCGTGCTACTTCTTGACCATGGCGCTCGTCGACCTGGAGGGTACTTCTGGCGATCATGCGGACTGTAGACTGTTGCGGTGGGATGAAGTCGAGCAATATACTCAAAATTGTTTCGATAGCATGAGAACGAATATACTAACTCTCGATCTGAACACACAAGGAACAGAGCAGATAGTAAGAGTCGAAGCCTTGGAGAACGTAGTTCATCTCCTCATCTTCGAGATGGTTTTGGGCCATGCCGCCCCTTGGAACTCCCATCTCCCTCCTGCATATGCTTTGCTCAGGGATATCATGACCTGCGATAGCTCGTCCCGCGAAGGTCACATGCAGTCTACACTCACAACAGCCCTTCTAGAAATCGAGCTCCCGCTATGGACTAACCCCACCGATGGCACTCACATCTGGTCGCCCTCGCAAGCTGGGTTCAGATTTTGTGCAGCGTTCCTGATCTTCATCGATATCATAGCAAGTATTACTCTCCAAGAACCCCCAACGCTTCGTTCTTATCATGCGAAACTCCTCGCTGAGATAGACGACGGAATCAGTCTCCCCAGCGATGTCGAGATTCACCTCTCCACTGTCATTGGATGCCGCAATGGCATCATGCGGTCCATTGCCGAAATATCGATGCTAAACAGTTGGAAAAATGAACAGGTCTCTACCAACAGCTTGAATGTCATGGACCTTGTTGATCGCGCCTCGCACATCGCCCATTCTCTCAAAAGCGACGTCTTTGGTATCCAAAACGAGAATACCACGAGATTTGTACCTCATTCTCACCTTGGTGGACCGCTTGATACAGCTCCCAACCCCTCAGCGTCTTCAATGTCAACGCTGATATGGGCTCATGCAGCACAACTGTACCTTACAGTTGTGGTATCTGGTTGGCAGTTGTCCAGTCTGGATATCAGGACCAACGTTGCCGAAATTATCGTATTGCTCAAAGACGTCCCGCCGTACCAGCTGCGCACTCTCGTTTGGCCGATATGCGTCGCGGGCTGTTTGGCACTGGAGGAAGAGGAGCCATTCTTCTTGGGGCTTCTCGCAGGCCTAGGCAAGGTTCATACAGCTGGGGCATTGGATGACGCACGCCAGATCATGGAGAAGGTGTGGCAGAGAAGAGGGTTTCTGAGAATGACGAACTGGGATCTGGCGTCTTGTTTCAGCATTTTGGGGTTACCAGTCCTACTAGTCTAGCCACTCTCGTAGCATCCTATGCAGTCGCTTGACGGTAGAGCAGGTAGGTCTAGATTATATCCGTTCTAGAGCCTACTGCACTCGTACTTACAAAGGGTTCGCAAGCCCAGTCGATATCGAAGTCGAAATTGAATGCCAGAGCATCTAGTGGCACCAGTCCAGTCATACTGGGTATCTCTACCTCCTCGTCTTTTAACGCCAGCATCTCCCGAGCAATAATACCCATGTCGTGGTACTCCCTCTTCCCTGAAGGCCAGAATTCACCTAGCAGTACGAGATTAGCATCTCCTTTAAGCTATGTGAGCAGAGATTTTGCTTACCTAGCATCTTTAACACGCCCATCTTGAGCCGAATCTTCTCACGCTCCAATGATAGCCTCGGCTCTTTGAAGATGTAACGACAGGCGGAAAGATGCGCAATGGTCATCAACGTGATCATACATATGATGAAGGGGGTATGCTCGCTGAAGCGTGTTGGAAGCGTAAGAAGACTGCTGAGCTTGTCGATAGAGAGCAGAACCTTGGCGGTGTGGATGTGGGCTTCGTCTTCAATGGCCTCGTTTGAATCTGGGGGTGGAGGCGGCACGCACCTTGAGACTGATTCTATTGGAAAGTACTTGAGTGTGGATAGCTGACGGTGCAGATCAACAATGTAACTACAATGAATCAGCTGACGTTGCTCTGTTTCAAAACAAATGTCAACATACGCATGCATCAGCATGTTGGCCTTGAACAGATGTTCATCTACGCTCCCATCATCTCGAAGAATTCTTCGCTTTGAGACAGGTAGAAGAGAGCACCATGCCATCATTGTATTATCCGCTGTCTCCGCCATCATTTTCGCATTTTCAATGCCGCCCATTCGCTGCGTCGCTAGTGCTTGATTGATGCCTCGGGTGAAGCCAATCAGCTCAGCGAATGACGAGAACTCTACGTCAGAGAATTCACGAATGTCATAACTACGCAACGTTGCTGGCGGGGGAATATCCTACAGATACTGGATAAGTCTTACGCTCATTCGTCCCAGCATTCAGGTGGTCTTACACCAGACTCATACTTGTGCTCCTCACAGGGCAGTCCAACTGTCATCTCCACAGCTCCGCTTTGTGTAGGAAAGGAGTGAGTACTCCCCGCGATATGTGCATCGGTAACGTAAATCATCCACCACGTGCGCCTCCAGCTTTCTTGTAGAACCGGATCACCTTGGCCATATTGTGATGCGAAATCCATCTTCTGCATTCCCAACGTAAGCGCCTTACAGATGACCTCGTTCAGCAGGTCTCGTCCTCTTTCTGGCTCACTACACCAGTACACTGCGATAGCGTACAGAAGTAATGCTTGGATATAATACGGGCTAAGTGGTCTCGAGCGTACTCGTGCCGAAGAGACAGCTTGGGAAGCAGCTTTTGCCAAAGGACCTGAGTCGACCATGTTGTTGTATATGGAACCGATGTATAGCAAAACTGGAAGTAAGGTATCGGATACAATTGGCTCGCTGTCAAGCCGTAGCAGAAGTGACCATCTGGGGAGCACGCATGGATGTGCGACGTGAAAAAAGACGTAATATTTGGTCAAAAGCTGGTCGACCTGCGCTTGCGTAAGATGAGTGTCGCCAAGTGTAACACCGTTGACGTTCGATGTGTTTATCGCAGTGTCAGGATCGCTTTGCGACGAGCTTCCCCCTGTTCCTGTGCCAAACGAGTTGCTAGCTAAGGGTTCATTAGCTGTCGCGGAGATGTTGTCCCATTGCGATTGATGGTGTTGTTCAGAAGTGGCTGCTGGCCGACGGGGCCGCCCACCACGTCGCGACATTTGATATTTGCACGTCTTCGTATCGGCGAGACAGCGGTTGCAGCTCGGCAGTGTAGCGTCGCACCGGACTTTTCGTGAACGACATTGTATGCACGCAAGCGCAACTCGGGAAACCGGTCGTTGCAAACGCGATGTGGGATGGAGCTCGAGCGGAGTTTGTTCCATTATAGTGTGTTTGACTAGAACAAGTGCAACGATATCACGCTGGCGGACTATCGAAAGCCATTTAAGCTCCGCTCTATCTTAACGTCGCAATCTCGGCGTCCGGCTAACCGACATTGTTGAGCGATGAGCGGGTGGGGCGTCCGCCGAATGCGCGCAATGGCCACCATCATCACCACGAAGGATAAGGCTGTAAAGCCACACAGAATTCCTATTATCATGGGGTCTGCTGGTGACGCACTTTGGAAACCTATGCGACAAACATTCCTGTTCATGCTTTCTTCATCGATTGATTTTGTGGCTGCGGGAATTCATTTGGGTGGAGGAGTCGGGGGCGCTTTGCGGTCGAAGGACCACCTGCATTACCTACAGCACAACGCGCACGCTTCTTCTGCCTCATAAGAGGCATTAGAACTTTGCACTTGCCTTCTTGGAACTGCGGTATAGCTCTTCTAAATTCGTAAGCTTGCTTCGAACGCTCTGTTTGTTCCGCGCCAGTCTACGCCGATGTAATGGAAGGGAGTAGGCGCCGACAAGTCAGCGGACTCTGACTGGCTGTCGGCGGAGCGATCGAATATAGCACTAGGGTTGAAGGTATGTATGCCTTTGTTTCGATGGGGTCCAAAATTCAAGTTACTGTGAAGGAGAAGGTCCAGACAACTTATAGTAGGCAGAAGAGATTGCCTTTGTCGACAGAAAGCGCTGGCTGCCGTGGATGCGAGCTGCGAGCTGTGAGCTGCTTCGACTACCCGGTTGCGAGAGCAGATAACGTCAAACGACTAAAGCGAATAAATCTAACGCGCGAGAGAGAATGGTTATTATCCCGCTGTCGTTGCAGTATCTAACAAAAGCATCGTCAGATGTAACATTGGAGTCTCTAAACCTACTCCTCCTCCTCATCACTAACTTTGAGCACAACTTTCCCCCTTGCATGTCCTGTCGCCGTCTTGCCAAACGCCTCACGAAATTCCTCAAGCTTCCACACACTATCCACACTTACCTTCAGCATACCCTTCTCAAAGAACCTGCTGATCCCCGCCAACTCCTCACTCCTCGGTTCCATGACGAACCACTCAGTTCTCACACCGACCGGCTTGCCGCCTTCAGGCTCTGTAAATCCCGGAACGACGGAAACGTAAACTCCGTTGTCTTTGATACCGCTCCAACCATCAAGCATTGATTTACCACCTACACAGTCGAAGACGATATCGAATTTGTCGTTGGAGGAAACATATTCGGCGATGGAAAGTTTTGTGTAGTCGATCACCGCATCGACATTCAAGCCCTTCAGAAAATCCTCATTCTTCGCACTTGCTGTGCCAGCGACAAATGCGCCTGCCAGCTTTGCGAACTGGACGCCTAATAGGCCTACGCCGCCCGCTGCACCAAGTACGAGGACCCGCTTTCCCCTTGCTTGGTTGAGGACTGTTTCGCCGACAGAGTTGACATGCGGTACGGAAGTTGGCGTGAAGGAGCCAGTCAGAAGGCCTTTCTCGAAAATCGCTTGCCATGCAGTGTGTGCACTCATTGGGACGCATGCAGCACTGTCCATATCGAGACCCTTGGGCACTAGCGCAGCCTCAGATGGTAGAATGCTGGCATACTCCTGGGCTGCGCCTCTGCGGTTCGCCATGATTCTTCCGAAGACCCTGTCACCTTCTTTAAAGCTGTGGGATGGACCAGACACAGTCGGTATAGAAAGTACTGTTCCGCTAACATCATAGCAGGGAATTTGCTCCTCTGGCCAGTTGATGAATGACCCCCAATTGAGCTCGCCGTTGGTGATAGCAGTGCTATGGACTTTGATCAACAGCTCGTCTGCAGCGATAACGATCGGAGCAGAATCAGTAAAAGAGAGGCTGTTTGTTTTGGTGTTGAAGACGATTGCTTTCTGCTGTTTAGGAACGTTCATCATATTGATGGTTGAATTGTTAAAACTGCAGAAAATGGTTTCGACAAGCACTTTGGAAGTGACCGTAGTGGTAATCTTGGTGAATAGTCGTTTCGATGAAATGTTTGCAGCGAAAGAACAACTCTCGACCTTGTTCTGCTACCTGAGATATACTGTTGAGCATGCTTCAGAGCCTGATGTCTCCTGTCTAGATGCACTGTCAATATACCGACCGAGAAGCCGACTGAAATGCCGACATCTAGAAACAGCAGCTTGGGGGTTAGTCTCGTGAACGTGGTCATACCAACTTACCCAATGCACTGTGATGGGTGTTATCTGTCATCGTCCGCCACGGACCTGCAGTAGCATAGGTGGTATGATTCGGAAGAGTGGATGTCATCGAGATCAGGCAAGTGAAGGAGGCACTAAGCATGACAGCACTTGATCTTTCCTCCCACGATACCGAAATTGGGCCGTTGCTAGTAGGGAAAGAAGCCGGCAATGGGGTGTATGAAAGTCGCTACAATTAGCCTCTCGGCTAGTTTTCGGTTTCTAGAAGGTGCACGGCTCAAAAAGAAAAGATGTTTCGGTACACTAAAAAAAACAAAGCGCAGTGAGGCCATTTGTAGCTCCTGCAGCACAGCTCCAGTCCTGTCGCCGCTTTCAAAACCATTGTTCTTGCAAAGTTAGGAAGAAGAGAGAATTGCCGAAACCGCGCTGTTGATCTTTGGTGGTGCAGCACGGTCATACCGGTAGAGCCTGCATGCGCTAGCGTGCACTACCTAGGTATCCTCTCTGACCTTGTGATCTAGAAGCGAGTTGCCAAGCATATCATCATCATCTCAACGCCGCCATCTTCGCCTTTGTTCTATCTTCTGCTCCCCACTACAAGCCTTACAGTCCTTCGTAGTAGTAAGTTGCACTCCTTCTCGAAATGTCTAGATCTCCTCCATAGTCCCCCGTTCTTTCGTGTAAATTATAGTGTGCAGCTGCCCTGACAACTGCCTGAAGATGAGCAACTTAAATGTGCAACAAAGTAGTAAGTGACTCGTCCATCATCTCCTCACCTTTAGCCCCACCCACCAAATGAGATCTACCCCGTAAGGTAGTAGGCGATAATCATGCCTCGGAATCCCCTTCAGAGGCCACTTTAATCCGAAATTCATTTTATTGGTGTCGGGGCGTAGCAACCAAGTTCGTGTTCTAACGTACAGCGATCCCTAGTACCTGTTGTCGCGCAGCGGCAGTTGCACGCAAACTGTAGACTCAGTGTCCTCATACCTGTCATGAATCGAGGCATGAGTCTTGATTGCACTTCGTCTTATTCATCGATAGTACACCAACGACTTCACTTTTCTAAGGGTCTCTCGGGCTTCACTTCTGTCCTCGCTGTTATATCTACCCAGTAACTTCCTTTCACGTCCTCTACATCGTGATCATCACTTGCTTGGGGCTTTCTCACCCATCTCGACCTCCTTATCTAGCACGAAGATGTTCCCATACTCCTCTCCAGTCTTTCCACCTAAAGTCTCGTCATCCACAATCAGAATAGCATAGAACTTCGCTGTTTCTGTCAAGCTGGGATTTTCAGACCGCTGGTGATGACAGCCAGGCCCTTCGTACCAGAATTCTCCCGGGCCAAAGGTTTGAGCGTCTTGATTGTTCATCTGATTGAGCGAAGTGCCAGAAAAAGGAATCGCGATGGCTGTCGCGCCACCATGACGATGCGATGGGGTGCCGCCGTTCGGTGGGATATCGATAAGGAGGACGAGGATTGTCTTTCCGGGAAGATTGGAAGGATTGTATCGAGCGCAGATTTTGAGGTCTTCGCGAGGCTTGCTGATATTTATGTTAGCAAATTGCTTCACTGTGTTGTTTCAAAGTGCAATGACATCAAATGTACGGGGGAAAGCCCATGTAGCAGTGGAAATGTTTCATGTAATACGTACCCTTCAATTTGCCAGACACCATTAATCTTCACGACTTTGGGGCTGACGAATGTTGCGGCCATGATCAACAAAGATGTGTGCTTCCCTGATTCTGACAAGTATGGTTACCCATGCTCACCATGTCTGCGTTATATAAGTTAGCAGATATTGCGATGCTAGATTAGGAACTTTGCAGTGTGGACGTTTGTTTACCGACTTCCAGTGACCGAGTGGCCGAGCGGCCGAAGTGGCGCTTTTCGTGGGACTGGATTGGATAGACTTCGTCCCAACATATGGTTCGCGGGGTCATATGCTCAACCCTATGCGCGAGACAGAGTAATAAGACCTCGCTGTATTAACATTGCAATGCATTTTCAAAAGGCTAGTGTGAATTGTACTTTCACTATTGACACATGTTCTTTCTTTCGAAATTTAGCCTGGTAGCTCCGGAACTCGAAGATAGGCAACCCTTCGCGACTTGCCAAGGGTAGGCGGTCGCAATAGCATAGTCGAACCGCTGCAATCGTTGATTGAAACGCACTAGCTAGTCTTATACATATAGTTGTGTTCGATGCATAGCAAATGCAGATAACCTCACCTCCCTTGTGCGCAACCGCCAACTTTGCAGCTCAACGCTTAGTCAGAACACACACTCCCTTTGAGAACGCAAGGCCTCCTTCACACTCTAATCTTGTTCGAAGCAATCGGACGCCTGTATTCCTCGGATTTGTCAGAGCCCTTGCGTTCCTCGGAGCCATCGGAATCGTCGGAATCACCGGGTTCCCCGAGGTTCACGGATTTCTCAAAGTTCATAGGTTTCTTCAAGTCCTTAAGGAGATCTAAGCTTAGCTGTAGCGGGATCGATTCAGATACCGAACCTTTCCGCCTTTGCTCCTCTCTGCGCACCACGAACGTCACACAGCTCGGCAGAATTCTAGCTAACACAGAATTGTCACATAATTGTGACGTAATCTAACGGAGGGGCTACTAGCCGTAAAGCGGGGTAGTAGCTATTATGTCTATAGCTGTGCTAATTTGCTAGCAAGAGTGCTAACTCTACCTATCATATGCAGTAGAGCGTAACTGTTGTGACCCTCAGCTGAGGCTGAATACAGGACAAATACTATAACTAGTTAACAAGCAAAGCTAGATATTCTAGAACTATGCTAGCAGGTCAGCACTAAATGTTGTTGCGGCTGCATGCAAGGGTAAAGCCGCATTCGCTAAGCACTGTAGACTCAAGCGACATTGTAGATTATAGCAAGCTGAATCATTCGCTCTCAGTGGAGCCACCTACCAACGCTAACCAAAGCCCTAATTACCCCTCTAGTAACGCCAACGACAGGAGCTTCTATCCGCGGTTCCTACAGCTTGATTAGAACAAGAAGTGTCTGTGAGACGCTAATCGCTAGTGCATTTAGTTCGGCGACCGTCACCAGAGATAGTTCCCGTAACGTTGGCCCTTTCTCGTCTTTGGTGTCAGCGCTTGCGTGTGTAATAGCAATGTTCTGTGCAATATTAGTTTTGTTTCTGTAAGCTTGATATAGCTTTTGAAGCCCTCCTCGAACAGCATAGGAATGTTTAGCCTTGTATATCTCTCTATACGGATGTTAGTCGTGTAGATAGCAAAAGAGTAGTATTTGTAGTAAATACACAACGAAAGGACTAATTTCGAATCAATTGAGCTGTATTATCAGTGCTAGAAAAAGTGCTCTGTAAGCTGGTATAAAGACTAGTTAGGATGTTTGTTGTGTAATAATGTCCTAACGTGTTGGATAAGCGAGTGACGCGGGCAAGCGAGCGACGCACCCCAAAACCTACCAAAAATCACGAACTGCAGGGGTCTAGATCTCTAGATCTACTTAATAGAAATCTCTAAAACTTCTATATTAGAGCTGTATCTAGACGAATAATCTATGTTTAGAATTTAAAGGTTCTAGCCTAAGTAGCTAAGTAGCTATTCAGAAAGTACTAGATTACAAGGATTATTTTAGCGTAGTTTGTTATATCTTAATAAATCCTAGAGCTAGAAGCTTAGAAATCTAAAAGAATACTCTTTATATCTAAAGTATTAAGCTATTAAGTTTTTAGAAAATTCTATTTGATAGATCTAGAGATCTAGACCCCTGCAGTTCGTGATTTTTGGTAGGTTTTGGGGTGCGTCGCTCGCTTGCCCGCGTTACTCGCTTATCCAACACGTTACTGAATTTCTAAGAGAATAACTTAAGGCATGTTCCTATAAGCAGCAGTTTAGTAGTAGGTAAGCAGTGTATTAAGCGGATAATCTATCACGACAACGACAAGATACTTATAGAACTCTAACTAGGGTACATCTAACGTACTCTACAAGCGAGTAGCACTATTTTGCTAAGACTTAGCTAAACTTCAAGCACAGCGTGATCCCGCAACGCAACAACGTAGAAAGGGCCTTAGACGAAAAGGACATACAGCTTGCCTTACAAACTACCTAACAAGATGCTACACTTAAGCCGCTACGCGCTGCAGCTATCTTAAGCGGTGCTAAGGATACACTACCAAGTGTCACGGCGCTGGCTGGTGAGGAACGCCAAGAGTGGCGCCTACGCTGATTGGCCGCACAGAATCCGGGTGCTGACTAGCGCACCCGGATTCTGCAACACTAAAATTCCTGCGCGCACACGTCCCGTCGTAAGCTCCTTGAGCTACGTCCTTGTCTAAGCCTAACCTAGTGCTGTTAGTTATACGTAGTGAATACACTGATCACGTGCACCTATCTTCCCTGCCTGCCGTCCCTATAAGACGAAGACGACTTACTAGAACACCTTAATAACGCGATTGCGCGCCTAGATTAATAGCCTTTTAAGGATTAGAAGAAGGGGCGATTGTTAGGCATATTCTAAAGCTATTGGGGCAAGGATACCCGCTTAGGGTTCAGCTCTAGGGATAACTAGACAAGCAAGCTAATAGGCAAAAAACGCCACTAGATCTAATACAAATGACGTCGAAAGTTTAGCTTAGCCCTCGTGAGAAAAGCTCTAGTACTACTCCGTATTGAAGTTAGACGTCTTAAAAGGTTTACCCTAGGAAATCACGAATATTTTAATAAATATGGTAAGTATAAAGAGAGCTGCTTAGGTTACACTAGCCCTAAGCGGAGCATGTTAGTAGCACTAATATTCTTGATAGAGTTTGTTAAACTGATTAGAGTCCAGTTCGTTGCCCTAGGCTTTTAGGAAGCGCATTACGCAACACTATAACATGGGTATCCCTGTTCCCTAGCTTCCTTTCCTCGTCGAACTATTGTCTTTCTGCATGTTCGCTTAGCAGGACTCCTTTGGGGCACATGATCAGACAGCAGCTCTCGCTTACTTAAACGCAGTGATAGGTTGGCTGGGATGCGTCGCTGTCAGAGCTGATAAATAGATGTGGGAGGGGTAGATGAGCATAAGAATAGCGGAATCGAAGGCAATCAGCGCTTCTACATGCTTCTTGCATCCTCCAAAAAGAACAGGTATCTCCACGCTTTCTCTCGAGTAGCTCTTCGCTCTTATCTCGTTTGAGATGCGTTCTCCATCCCTTGTAACGCTGCTGCTACTCGTCGCTCACGCCATCTGCGCTCCTGCTCCTAAAGAACAGGATACAGATCACAGCGAGACTGTCAAAGCGAGCCAGTCGATCCAGCACGCCATCAACAAGGCCAAACCAGGGGACAAGATTATCGTCGAAAAAGGGATCTACGCTGAGCAACTGGAGATCACGACGAGCGACATTACTCTGATCGGCAAGCCGGGAGCCATCCTAATGCCGCCCCAGAATTACACACCGAACTTCTGCACTGGGCTCAATTACGACTTCTCCGGCGCTCCCACTGATGCAGGTATCTGCGTCCATGGAAAGGGCGTTAAGCTTGCCGAATTCAAGCAAGAGCACAGGAAGGTCGAATCAGTCCACGAGTACATCAGGAATGTCCAAATCACTGGCTTCGAGGTGCACAGCTTCTCCGGCATGAACATTGTGCTTTACGCTGGAATCGACTGTGTATTCGCAAACAACAAGCTGGTCGATGGCGGACAGTACGGCTTGCTGACCGTCTACTCCATAAACACCCTAGCCAAGAGCAACATGGTTACCTCCACTACTCCCTTCCCTAACTACATCGCTATGTGCATGGACGACCAGTCGGGTGCTAAGTTCATAGGAAATGACATCTCTGACTACATCATCGCACTCTGTACCCAGACCTCCGGTGGTCTTGTTAAAGGCAATACAGTCAAGAGTTGCTGCATCGGGCCTTTCGTCGATCCTGGTGTTAATGGTGCGAAGCTCCTTAAAAACACTATTACAAGCCGCAATCCCGCCTGTCCCGATGAAGCTGCTGCTGGAATCATCTTATCGGGGTCTATCAACACTCTGGTTGATAGGAACACTATCCAGTTTATAAATTCTAAGGACAAGAAAGCAGTTGGCCTATACCTCACTGATGATAACACCACCGGGTCAAAGGTATCAGGTAACACTATCGAGAAGAATTACTTTAAGGAGAATGATGTTGACATCGTGAATAATTCGACAATCAAGCCGGATACGAATATTTTCAAGGGCAACATTTGCAAATCAGCGTTCACGGCTGCTGGGTCAACTTCCTATTGTGGTAGATTCTGAGTTAAGGCACTCAACGCAGAGCATTATGTGTAGCATCACGCGTCTATGCACATCACGAGCCCGTGCACGATATGAACTACGTTAGTAATGCGGTAGTTGCGAGCGTCTGTAGGGTTATGAATGTACCTTCTGAAATACCTCTTTAGTTATGCATAATATCTAATTAACAATGTAAGCTAGCGCAGTCTATACTATATGCCTAAACTGTACTCATAGTGTAGGGTTAGGTTGCCCCTAGGGGTAAGGAACGAAGAAGGCTACTATCAAGAGCAAGTAATAACAGCTACCTCTAGAGGTAAGGAATAAGGAGGCTACCTTAATAGGCAAAGAGTTCTGTACAACTAGTCTTGTACATTTAAGCTACCTGTAACTCTATTAGTAATGTATATGTGTAGGATAATATAAAGACGTAATCCCTACGAGCTAATTAGTTACTAGTATAGTAGGTAGTAGAGAAGTTAGTAAGATGCGTAACCTTATTTAAGCTTTAGGTACAAGAGAAGAGTGTTAACTCGAAATAAATATAAAACAATACATGCAAAAGGAGTAAGTGTGTAATTAATTAACCAAAAGAGATAGTGTTCGCAGGGTCAGGGATAATGCTAGTACTAGATAAGGTAGTGCTTTGTCTAGGTATTTATAATTGCACCTTAATGTAAGGGGCTACGCTTAGAGAGCTATCGCACAGGTATACTAGAGTTGTATTCGATAGAGAAGAGAACTACGGGTAGCTAGGGTTCTGAAGGTCGTTTAGGGGGCGGCAGCTCGGGATAACCTTCTGCCGGGCTCGCTTACGCAGAATCCGGGTGCTTAGGGGGGGCACCCGGAATCTGTGCACAGTGCGCCTCGCGCACGTAACCAAGATATTATCAAGGACTTACTAACTAGGCTCCAGCCCATTACATAGGCGCTTCTCTTTAGCGAGAATCCTAATAGCTTTAAGGAGGAGAATTAGGAGTCTATAGTTAAAATCATCGAATAACAGAAATAGTAGCAGGCGCTAGGGCCTATTAGGAAGCTTTATAATGTAGTTGTTTAGATCTAGTCCTCTACAAAGAGACAAAGAGAGTTCTAAAACCGCTAGCGGGCTAGTTATATTACTACAGGCAATCCTAATGCAGCCACGAAGCCTGTATACAACCTAATTCTTACAAACAACACCTAGTAGAATTCAAACCTAGCTAAGTGTTATCTATACATGGGCACAAGACCTTATTACGTTACACGCTAACCCTACTAGGTTAGAACGGCTTAACGCGTTATCTTATATCGTTAACGCGTTATAACGACTTTAACGATATAAGCGCAAAACTGCCAAGACCTGCTTATACCTATTCTATAAGGTCTGCTACATCGTCATCTATTGCCTCCGCATCGTCCTCTAGCTGTAGTTCTACTAGTAAACCTATTCTATTAAGAGATAAAGGTTTTATATAGCCCTCTCTAAACTAGCTGCCTATGCACTTAATCTTCTTAATGTTAAAACAAGTAAGCCTTAACCGATCCCATGAACACGTCCGTCTTGCACCTAAGAACGTCCTCTCTAGCTCTAATAACTCTGCAGGAATAGATAGAATTAAGATAGCTATATAACTTAGCCTAGGGTAGCGTTGCCGCTGTTCTAGTCGGCACTACTACTTAAGAGAGCTACAGTCAATTTGTACCGCTGCATTATTTGCAAAAGCTCTTAGATTATTAATGCTTGAAGTTACCTCTCCTAATCCTTTTAACTGCTTAAAGATTTAGTTAAGTACAGCACTATGCTGTTTTAGCGGTAGAGGCATTAGCTTAGGAGTTGTAGACTCGACTAAAGACGTGTTATATTTAAACTCGTTTAGCTAAAAAGTATTAGCAGCATTAATAGCTAGTTTATACTATTTAGCTAGCTAGTTCCTCTTAAGGTAGGCACCTCTACTTAAGGGGTCGAGTAAGATTGCAGCAGCGTACACTAGAACGTAATCAGTTATTTTATAGTACTTGTCGAGCACAAACTAGCCCATTTTAATTAATTAAATTATGCAGAGATCTTTGTGTTCAGGCTTCGAGTAATGTTTCTATACTTAGCATTAGTAAAAAGGACGTAAGGTAAGGATAAGGTATTAGCACTAACCTTCTGCTGCTTATAATAAAGTAGGAGGGAGTCTATAAGGAAGATAGACTGTAAGATAGATGCTCTTTTCTCCTCTGCGTATAGAGTCGCTAATGCGAATAGGTCTAGGAATGCATGTGTATTCTATAGTATAACCTAATCGTTATTAGTAAAACGGATGTCGTTAAGAGATCTCTCGTTGTCGTGCATAAAGAGTTTGATTTTAGTTATCTTTTTTAGGGCTTAATTAATAACAGCGTACTATAACGACTACCTAGTTTAATTATTAATGCCTAAGCAGAGGCCTACTTAGCAATCCTATACTGCTGCATGTACAGTTAAACTGCGCAGCTAGGCACAAAGTTAATAGAGTTTCCGGAGAGTAGGAATATTCTCTAAGCCCGAGAAGTCCTTATTACTAGATCCTCAGCTCTTAACACTACGTACCTAGCAAAACGGTCTTCGACTCTGTAATGTCTCTAATGCAGCTTCGTGCTGCGCTCTAGTACTCTCTCGCCGAGACGTAAGAGCACTTAAGAATTGTGCAAGAAGATCTTCCCCTGTAGCATTAGCTACAAACTTAAGAGCAGCTCTTAGAGCTTCCTTTAAAGACGCAAGCAAGAAGGCTTGCAAGGACAAATTAATAATATAACTAATGCATTAAATACGGCGCGTTTTAGCATTAAATGTGAGGAGTAGTTGGGCAGGCACTAAGATATCGGTATAGGCTTGTATTGAGACGAATCCTTAAGGAGCTATCAAGCCTCTTAGAGGGATGATATATACCTACGTTACGTGATTGTGGCTGGTGTGATCCGACGGTGCCCTAAAGGGTTCCCGGTAGCTTACTAGTCTGTAGCTGGAATCCTGTAGTGATGGAACATCGTGACATTAAATTAGACCTTTTAAGAGTTAGCATAAAGGCTGCGTTATTAAAGGCTTATACATCTAATGCTATAATATACGTTATGCTTGCTTTGGAGGAGAGACTTAAGATAGTCTAGACAGGTGTCGTTTAAGGTCGCGTTATCCCCTGTGTGCCAGCCAACTCTAGACTGTATCCTATATTCCTTAAGGGTTCTAAGAAGTAGTTGTGCTTACTGTTGTCTAGAGTAACTGTAACGACATTCTAGTAGACCTAGAAGAGCTCTCTAAAGCTTGTGTTCGTAATTAACCTACTATACGCATATAGTAAGGAGAGATAAGCGAAAAGGCGATGTCTATAGATCTGTTAATATATAGATAGGACTTATAGCTGTTAATAAGCTCTCCTTAATAACATAACCCTTGTAGAACTAATAGTTTAAGGCGATAAGACTACGGCTATACGCTAATTTGTTATTAGTTAGTCTTGCACGTATAGGTTGCAAGCAAGTGCAAGGTCTTTTATCTCGGCCTACTCGACTAATAAGAAGGGCATTCGACGTTAAGTAAGAAGACCTGCAAGTGCGTCGTAATACCCTTGTTAATTAAAGGCATTGCGAATAACGTTCTAGTCTATAGTCGTTCGGGATATAGAGGTAGTAGCTTGCAGTATTGTAACTAGTGTACAAGGGGTGTGCAGAAGCTAAGACGATTTAGGCTAAGCATAGTATCTTAGAACATAGGCAATAGTGTTACTACGATAAGTATTAGACTAGGAAGGACATTGTGTACAGACATACTAAATCCTTATACGCTTGCGCTTAGAGTTGCTAGTACTCTAAAAGGTCTCTATTTGTATAATAGCGTTAAAGTATAGAGGAGATATACTACGAGATAAATACTGTAGCGTTAGAGATAAGCTTTCAGACGAGGGATTGAATAACATTGCACTAGTATATGTGTAATACACGACATATTTAGTAGGGTTTTAGGTAAGGTCTAGAGCATCTAGACAGCAGATTCTCTGTTTCTCTATGCGCAATACTAGCGTACTTAGCGCTAAGACTCTTATCGCGTTATAACCGTTATAACGTAATAAGAGCTTACGTAACAATATAACGATTTAAGAACCTTAAACTGTTATACGCTATAACGGTTTAGCTTAACGCGTTAAGCTGCCTAAGTATAGTGTTATAGGCGGAAATAGGCCTGCTAACGAGTATGCATTTGCTCCTATGTACAGAAGAAGAAGGATAAGAAAAAGAAGAGTAGCGTCCTCCTTGTATAGTATTTATCCTCTGTACGTTAATACAAAGATAGATAAGCAGGAAGTTCTTCGGCGTAGCCTCTTGTAGTACTTAGGCGTAGCCCCTTACACTAAGATGCAGCGCGTAGTTAAGCTTCAAAACGTAATTAATAAAATAATAGCACTAGAAGTCTACAAATAGAACTTGCACTGCTCTGCGCAGAAGCTATTAATAGCCGAAGACTATCTAACTACTAATAACTAGGCTGTTATTGCGATCTACTTAGATATTCTAAAGCCTCTTAAAAAGGCCACCTTAAAGCTGCAAGGTAGACCTAGCCGCAGTTTAGATACTAGTATCTAGCATGTACTACCTACAATAGAGTAGCTACTCTATAGGTTCAAAAGCTTTAAGGATGTAATAGGCTAGAGCCTAGTTAGTAAGTCCTTGATAATATCTTGGTTACGTGCGCGAGGCGCACTGTGCACAGATTCCGGGTGCCCCCCCTAAGCACCCGGATTCTGCGTAAGCGAGCCCGGCAGAAGGTTATCCCGAGCCGCCGCCCCCTAAACGACCTTCAGAACCCTAGCTACCTGTAGTTCTCTTCTCTATCGAATACAACTCTAGTATACCTATGCGATAGCTCCCTAAGCGTAGCCCCTTACAAAGGAAGAGTATTAGTCCTATCCAGATCCTTATTTCTAACGCAGTATTACCTAAGCCTAGGCTAAGCTTAATAAATACTATCTGCTTACTAAGAAATTACCTATCTACGTTACTGCAGTAGTCTTAAACCTAAA